CAGGGTTCGGGTCGACGTCGCTAAGACCAATCTGGTGCTTGATTACATACATACATATATTAAACAGTAAGCTAGAGCCTAGTGAATAACAACTGTGTAAAGGAGTCACGAATGATGTCCTCACAGTCATTTAAAAACAATTAGATTCAATAGTGATTCAATTCACAAAGGAATATCTCATTCATTGAATGAAATTATATCAGTCATACGTGGTACATCCAATAGCAGAACAATACAGTAGGTCTTAAAAATCGAACAATCATTTGATGCCCATCAATACAGTAAATAATAGTTCCAAGAATTGGAACTGACAGAGATCTTTGTAACAGTAGTAGTAACAATAGCAGTAAATAGTTGCTACGGATGCCACAAGTACAATTCACAAAATAGGACAATCATTCATTCAGTAAACACATTTTAGAAAACAGTACATTTCATCGATCGAAAAATAATTCCAATTGAATATAGTTTTACAGCATTGTTACTCACAGTGGGCTCCTTGAATTATGTGCTTAAGATGCGGCGTCTAACCTAAACAAACAAATCCAAGCACAACTCAATTACACTCATATCATTTAGTCATTTCTATTCAGTTCGGTACTATACTTCAGTTCATTTGCTTCTTATTCGGTTTCTATTCATTGCTTATTTGTTCGGTTATAACTTTTTGTTCTTTATTGCATTTGGGTTCATGAGATGCAAATGCATATGAAAAACACTTAAAAACCATGCAAACAAAAGCCCGAAAGGTAGAAAAATGGAGCGAAAACAAAATCGGAATCAACCTGAAAACTGCACGTACGGGGGCACTGGCCGCACGTGCGAAACTACCACCGCATGTGCACCTTGCATGTGCAATTAAAGCAACGTTGAGCTTCGAAATGTCCTATTTTCCGTACGTGTGGCGCTCCAGGCCACACGTGCGGTTCTGGGTATTTTTGGATTCGAAAATTGCTCTTGTTTGGAAACTCGTCCTTTGCAAATTCTAACTTCAATTCTAAGCCAAAAACTCATAAATTCATGGTGGACTAACACTTTCTAACTACAAATAAAAATCATGATTTCAAATCTAACCCCAAATTGCCATAAAGAAATCAAACTTTCAATTTGATATGTAAATGTATAAAACATGCAAGTGTAAGCTCTAATCCTCAAAATTCATGAACTTTCCCTCTCAATTGTAGAACCATGCAAGAATTCAAGTGTAAGAAAACAAATTTCCTTGAAATCATGCCATGCATGTAGCTATATTAAGTTAATTCCTTCAATACTTCACTTTTATGATCATACAAGTTCATATAGCTTTTCAACTTCTAAATCTACCTACAAAACCAAAAATTCCATTCTATCACAATTCAATTTCTAGAGGATGATTACTAAGACATCTTAATTTCATGAAATTAAAGGAAAATCCTCACCTTAATAGGTTGATTTATGAGGAACTAGCCTAATCTCCCTTGTTTCTCTAAGATTTCCTCTTTTCTCTTCTTCTCCTTGGTCTTGAGCTCTCTCTAGCTTTCTCTACAAAATGCAATAAGTCTCTCTCTTTCCCGCAAAACTCTTTTCTTTGACTATATGATAAATAGGATTTATAATTCTCATATTATTATTAATTGTCCTTAAATTAATTAGGCTAATAAAGCATATTAATTGAAATTACACTAATTATGAACTTAATTACTTTATCTCTAACCTAACTAAACTTAATCATACTAATGTGGATTAGGCTCTAATTACCTATCCAAGGATTTAATTTAATCATGTAAAAATTAGGGATGAGAATGGTTCAGATTGAGGTAAAACCAGGACCAATCTGTTATCTACGGTTCCTGAAAAATTAGAACCAATCTAATCCGTTTAAATCGTGGAACCAATCCATTTAAACACGAATCGGATCGGTTTAGGACCACAAATTCATATAATTAAATAACAAAAAAAAAACAGAACATTTTAATTTCATAAAAACATAAACATAGTATCCTATTAGTTTCACAATAGTAACACATCTTTCCACAATAGCGATATACTGTTCTAGAATTTACACAACCCTAAGAAAACTAGTTCCACTATAAGTATTTAGACCATTACAAATTAAAACTAAAAACCAACAAACAAAAACAATAAAAGAAGATACTATGCGGATTTAGATTTGAGTTTAGGTTTTATATGGAATAAGAGAAGATACTATACGGAAGAGTGTATAATATGAATATAGGCTATTTGTATACGGTCCGGATCGATTCCAATCTAGAACTGCGAGGTTTAATCCGGAACCGATCCGTGGATTACAGATTTTTAATTTTTCAATTCAGAACTAAACCACGAATTCAAAAAAACCAATCCAAACCTATCAGATTGGATCGAATTGCAGATTTTACGGATTCTTTGCTCAGCCCTATTAAAAATTACTGATTCAGACAAGTTCAATTTCCACCTCTTCATATCTATTCACAACAATAATACAATAACAATACAATGCATATAACACGTGACACCATAATTAACACATGATCACATGATCAACATTAATCACATAATTAGCTTAATTAATCAAGGAAGTGGTTATCACAAAATTTGATGAAAAAGTTGAAATAGTTCGTATCAAATTAAGTTTTTTATTCAAATTTGGATTCAAATTATATGAAATAGTAGTCAAGAATTAGATATGTTATAATTTCACTGGCTTCAATTTGTAAAATCCCAAACATTTTGGATAAATTTTTATATTTACTTAAGAAGAAATTTAAGATTGAATGTTGACACTTAACACCACTATTGATATTGTAGCTTAGCCAATGTTTGCACACATTATAGTCATTGTTCTGCACTTAATTATTCATTATTTATCTCTTTCACTATATCATAGGTCTGCGGTACACCCCTCTTCAGTCCCCACTCCACTACGGTCATCGCTTGGTCCCCCTTCTTCACATGCCATAACTTCTCATTCTCACACTATTACTATGTTGGGGAATTTTCAAAATGATTTTCAAAATTAATAGTTTAGGTCTTGGGTGCTTTTAAAACCTTCCTTATTTTTCTGTGGAAAGCTTGAAACAAGCTTGTGGACTTTGTCCACATTGGAAAGAAAGAAAAATATGGAGCACGTAATAAAGTCTTACATGAAATATTCCTTTGAATATGAAATTGTGGAATGAATGCTGGTCTGCATGCACTCACACCGCAAGGATGGTATTCACACATGCGCGTGCATGGCATTTGATGGTGTACTTAGCATGAACGCATTGGCGCAAGGCGCTTTTCTATTTGCATCGGACATGTTGGAGCGATGACGTGAAATATAGTTTACCTCCGTGTGGCAATGATGTGGCGTCCGTTGGCGATGAGTCAACTAATCGATCGAATGGTTGTGTGTCCAATTTGAAGAGGTCTAATCATAGCTGTTGATTGGAGATGCGCGTAATCATACAATTGAGATGGCACTCAATCATGATCAGTCAAGGCATCTATTTGGTGTGAGATTGATCCGCACCATAGATTGTTGACCCAACAGTTAGATCTAATCGAATGTGATCAAGGGACATGACTATTCAATCAGATGCATCAAGGCCTATAAAATAGGCTGTGAAATCAATCATTTCATTCATCCAAATTCCGAAAAGCATTCCTACAATTCTCTCTCTCTCTCTCTCTCTCTCTCTCTCTCTCTCTCTCTCTTCCCCTTCTTGATTTAGAATTTTCGATCAAGAGTTTCTTAAACAAATTTATGCTTTTTCTTACTGGTAATCAAATTCTGTAAACTTGATTATCAGTGTCATGGTTTTCTTGATTATATCAAGAGTATTATGACCTACTATCGTCAGTGCAAACGCTGGTACACTTGATCCTTAGATCAAGTTTCATTGTATCATAGAGACGAATTTGCTATAACTCCATACACACCTATTGGTGGGGGCAAATATTGTCTTTAAGAAAGCGACAAAGTAACGTAACTTGAAACATCAATTTTCTATTCTACATAAACAAGATCATCGTCAAGTTTTGAAGACCTAAAAATCACCAACTGAACAATTCAAGATGAATTTCTCCAACAACCCCTTTGACAGTTTTTCATAAAAATAAAAAATAAAAATTGAAAAGAATTTTTTTTTTATTACTTTTCATGCATGTGTATCTCATTTTTGAAATTTTGATATATATTTATAGATGTCTATATATATTTGGTGAAATATTTGAAATTGCAGTTGTTCAGTGCCTATTTTGTATTGAATTTTGTCTTGTTGGTTGCATGTACCCTTGCAAATGATAATCAAATTTCTAATACGGTTTTGTCTTAGCATATTTTTCATCTACCCGCCAAACCGACAAGTCAAAATCACATATAATATTCAATTGATCTATAAATTTTATGAAGCCACAGTTCGGTGACGAATGACAAAAATATACAAACCATCTATGCAGGCTAGTTAAGATTATTATTTTTTTTTTTCAAAAACTGTACCACTCTAACCAATGCACATATATATACTTTCAAAAATATTGATCGAGCTTATAAAATAATAAAAAAAATTACAATTCAATTGTATTTTCAAAAAATAATTACATACACATAGAAAAGTTTATGTTTTTAATAATTAAAATTTATAAAATTTATCATTAATTATTTTTTTTTTTCAAAATATACACTGATTTATTATTACCTTTATAAAAAATTACGACACATACTAGAGTTAGGAAGAATTATTTAAAATAATCTAAATAAATATATTTTTTTAATTTTTTATGAAAAAATATAACACATCCGAACAAGCTCCAGTGAGGTAAAATCAGGCAAATCCGAGTTTTGAAGCCCGTGGGACAGTTGATGATGATCCCAATGTACAAGGCTGTCCAACGTAAACAAATTAAAAGAGATTATCTCATTATCTTTTATTAGTTAATTTCACGGTTGACTCGATGGAGGGGGAAATTGAAATGCAAATCTAAATTGTAGGGAGAAAATGTAATTTTCAGGATGTGAAGATACTGTGTAATCGAACCAACCTAAGGGTGTCAATGTAATTTACCAACCTAATTAATTATAGAGACCGCAACGCTGACCAACATCAGAAGGTTCCTGTGGTGAGTCCTGCGTCGTCTTCTTCTCCAAAACGCGGTTTTAACCAACCACTCCAAAGTCACCTTCTTTTCCAAGGTACCCCTCCTCTCCTCCCAACTCTTTTCGATCATCCAATTTTTAATAAATTTAACCACCAAATCGTAAGATTTCTTTGATCTGATCGTTCGTTTCTTCTGATTATTATTTTTTATTTTTTATCTTTGTATGTAACATGTGTGTGCTGTTTTAATTTTATTTTTTTTTATTTTTTTTCTCTCTGTTCTACTGAATTAAAAGAGTTATTAGTTTATCTGTATTATCGAACAGTTTAATTTCAAGGCTTAATGTTTGAGTATTAGTAGAGATTTTGTGATCAATGGTTGGATTTTTGCCTAATTAGGGTTTCTCTTTTGATTGATTCTTTTTCAGTTGAAGATCTTGTTGCTAGGGCTTTGGAAATTAAAAGACTTTTGACTGATTGTGTGGGAGTGAAATATAAACTAGGGTTTCAAAGATGAGTGACAATTTTATGGACAAATTTAGCTCTTTCAGCGAGCGTTTGAAGATTGGTGGAGCAGAGGTTGGTCGAAAGATGAGTGCTGGCATGAGCTCAATGAGTTTCAAGATGAAGGAGTTGTTTCAAGGTCCAAATCAGGTTGATAAGATTGTTGAGGAAGCTACGGCTGAAACACTGGACGAGCCTGATTGGGCCACTAATCTTGAACTTTGTGATATGATCAATCATGACAAGATCAACAGCGTCGAATTGATCCGTGGAATAAAGAAGCGGATCATGTTGAAGAGTCCCAGGGTTCAGTTTTTGGCTCTGTCGTTGCTTGAAACGGTTGTTAAGAATTGCGAGAAGGCATTCTCGGAGGTTGCTGCTGAGAGGGTGCTTGATGAGATGGTGAAGTTGATTGATGATCCTCAGACTGTTGTTAACAACCGGAACAAGGCTCTGATATTGATTGAAGCTTGGGGGGAGTCATCTAATGAGCTCCGGTATTTGCCTGTTTATGAAGAGACATACAAGGTATCCCTATTATTTCACTAAATTTTAAAAGTCAATTGTTCCGTTTTCACTACTTGGCATCAATTATCATTTCTGATCACTTTCTACTTGCAAAAAAATGCTGATTTGATTGAATAAGTAGAAATGAATTGAGTTTACATGCTGTAAAGTTAATCACAGTAAAAGGATTGTAAGAAATTATTTGAGAGAAGAAAGAATGACTTTTGATGTTTATTTGGACCAGTGATTGGGTTACAATGTAGTTTTACATGTTTTAAAATGAAATGAGTTCATATGCCTTAAAATTATCTACTCTTGACTTTGTTACTTGTAACTTGTTTATGTATTTGCTAGAGTTTGAGATCAAGGGGCATACGGTTCCCTGGCCGTGATAATGAGAGTTTGGCTCCTATTTTTACTCCCCCTCGTTCAGTCTCGGCTGCAGAAACCAATGCTAGTCTTGCTCAACAAATTCATCATGAGATTCCTGCTCAAACCTTTTCAGCAGAACAAACAAAGGAAGCATTTGATGTGGCTCGAAATAGTATTGAGCTTCTTACAACAGTTTTGTCCTCTTCACCCCAACAAGATGCTTTAGAGGTAAATTCATTTTCTTGCACTTGTAGTTTATATGCGGATGTCCTGATTTTAGTTGATGTCCAACATGGTCTTTTAGAATCTATGAATGGTGGGTTGCATGTAGGGTTCATAATATAAAACACCTGTTAGGTTGTTTTCGTTTCTAACAGTATTGAATTCCCTTATTAACCTGGTCAAGTTTAGTTAATTGTGCATGATGTTGTCCTTCTCTCTGTCTTTCTTTACCAATCTAACATTGGAAGATTTTAATTGATCCAATAATCTTGGTTCTTCAGCCAGCCTAATATCTTAAGTTGTACGATTTGAATTGTTGGCCATCATCATTGCACATGGTATATTGGCCTTCGCATTTTCTTCAAAAATGGAGTAATTCACGCTAGTCAATTGACTTCATTCAGTAATCATTGCTACTTTTATTGTTTGGCCACATTTGCAAAAATATATTGTTCATCATTTGCGGTGTCATATTTGTTAGTATTACTGTGTTTATGAACTACCCTTTTTTTTATTATATATATATATATATAAACTCCTTTTGTAGTGCTCCTTTATAGTCATTCTCATCCAAAAACGCTAACAGGATGCTTGCTGTTTGAACATATTTGTAACTAGAAGTATGAAATTGGCTTAGTAACTGTGTAGGTTTCAGTTAGGTTAATATCTTCGGATCATTTACTAAATTTTTAAACAAATTGTTGAGGTTTTTCATATTAATTTTATTTTTATCAGTTAAAATAGGATTGTTATTTTGGTAATGCTGCTATTTCAGTAACTATGACTCCCTCTTAAACGAGTTAGTGAGATGTAAAGTTATTATGCGTTGTAGATAATTATAATATTGTCTTGGAAGTTGGAACTAGCTATTGAAAAAAAGGGTAACAGCTGTCTCATTTTGAGGCAATAATAGAGGTATGTTGAGGGGTTTCCAAGTCAGCATCCTTATTACAATTGTTTCAGAATTTTAGAAATGGTAAATATTTGGGAAATCAGTTGTTCAAGGTATTAAAAATGAGGTATGTTTTTAGATATTGTATATAATCTATCAGGGGAAAAAAAGTAGTAGTAGTAGTACTTCATTGAATTGCTCTTTTGTTGTTTTTGAATCATGAAGCTCAAGGTTTTACTGTTTTGCAATCTGTAGTTTCTTTGCCATTAAATAACTTTGCATTTCTTATGGTTGAAATTTGTTTTCCACACTTTGTGCCTTCAATTGTCTTACATACCAATTAATTGAAATTCTTCGACTTCCACATTCTATTTGTCACTCTTACCTAGAAAAGAATATTGGGTGAAAGCCCCACCCCATTGCTGTGTCTTTTTTATTTCTTTTTCTTTTTTTCCCCTCTCCGGAGGGAGTTTATTTTTATATCCCATTATAGTCAGACCGAGTGATTGTTGAGGGTTGAAACCATGCAGACCAAGTCACTAGCACATGTACGTAAGTGGTTTGCTATATAGGTCCATATCTCAATAAATTCACATCATCCGTGGATAAAAGATGCTTAAAATATAATCCACATTGTTGACGTATCTTGCAACTATCAAATCTGTCAAAGGGTCTAGATTATGTGTGGTAGGCTTAGTTTTGACAAGTTGAGTTAAATTGACGATGCTGGTTTGGTACCTGGCCCAACCATCAAGTCTAATTCACAGGTCTTGGTGTTTGATGATGTTTTCATGGCTTGTTCTTGTTTTATCTGTAGTCTAGTGGAAGAAATTGGAATGCATAGATTGTTGACAATTCATTCAATTCATGATGTGAGTCAGGAACATGTTGACCAGTCAAGTTCGATGCTCAGGGCTTGGTGTTCAATGGGTGCTGTTCTGAGTAGATATATAATACATCTTCTTTTTCCTTGATGTCATGCGAATTGCACGTCTGAATGCATCTTCCTTATTTAATATCAAGTGCATTCTTCTGCTTTGGGTATTGTTCTTTCTAATTATCTATTTTATTCAGGTGTGTATGGTCTCTGTCATCAGTTCGCATGCATGTTTTTTTATTCATGCTTGGTATTATAGGACATTTCTTTCTTTCTCATTTATTTGGTGAAAACTACTTAAGCAAGAGAATAATGCTGTTCCATCTTCTTCTTCTTCTTCTTCTTCTTCTTCTTCTTCTTCTTCTTTTCCTGATTTGTTGAATAATCATGCAGAGTCTAATTGTTTCATACAATCACCCATTTCTTGTGATTTGTCTAGTTTTTGTTATTATTCAACCGGATACAAGAGATAATTGAAATCATATTATGAGACATCCAACAACATTATGTTATCACATCTTTGATATCTGCCACTGTGCAGGAGAAT